AAAGAATGAAGCACGAATGGTTCGAAATATGCATCTGTATTGACATACATAATGTATCAAGTATCTTGTTAGGTTTTTTATCTCTGAGGGGTATCTGTTCTCCTAACCCCATCCGAGTATCTCTTTCCCTCTCCACCATTTAGTTTAGAAAAATGTAAGAGGACCGCTCCCTGTGGATGACGACGCACCCTCTTACAAGAGTTGTGATACAAATATTTGTTAGGGCACCTTTGGCTAAGTACTGTTGTGACTATAGAATATCTGATAGGACCACTATGGTTGGTACGATCGTGGTCATAGATTGTACCATAGTTTTATAAGTCGAAAATATGTCTGAGAAAATTATCGTATCTGTATCTGTATCTGGTCTGGTAATTCTACATGGGTAGTTAGAAATCTATATCTACCTTCAGATATGGAAGTCATAATGACTTCACGAAGCATGACACAAAAATCTGAGCATTTCATGATTTATTTGATTTTTTCTATTATCTGGTATGATATGTGTTTGTTTGATTATATTAACATAATATTTTCTCTAATAAATAAATTATTTTCATAATGTAAGATAGGTCTACAAAGTAACCAAATTGTAAGTATGTTTGTTAGAATAATTTACCTTTAAAATTTTATGATGTTATTTAAATATTGTTTTACTTACTGAGCATATAGAACTCACTCTTTCCATACCCCCTCAAATGATGAAGAAAATGAGGAACCGCTATTTGACCTACCCATTGAAGTTTATGAGGATCCTGTAGATCCGCAAAACTTAAGTGCATGATCGTTCCCGCATCCTGATGAGTCCAATAGCATAGTAAAAGAAGTAGTCATCTTTTGTATTTTGCAGCCACCTATGACCTCAGTTATATATATGTAATTGGAACTCATATATTTGCAAGAGATTTGTATTAATTTACTTCGCTGCATATAGTTTTTATCATGCATTAGTAATTTTATTTGTGTATCTAATACCCACATGCCTTAATCAGCATTTGGAATGTCACATTT